GCCTCAGCAATTTAGCAGGGCCCTAAACAATTTAGTGAGACCCTATCTCAAAATAAAAATGTGGAATGTAGGGATGTAACTCAGGTAAAGCATCCCTGTGTTAAATCGCCAATACCCTGCTCTTCAGAAAATAAATATTGTTGTTATTCAGTGTAATTTTTCTTTTACTCTCTCTTAAATTTATATGGTTAAGGGGAAGAATGGATAGAAAACATATTTTCTTTGTACTGGAGGGGAACAAATTACATGTCTTTATAAGGCTGTTATCAAACCTATTTTAGTTCTTTGCGTCTCCTGTTTTCTCATTTAGTTCTGTTTCCATTGACCCTTATTGCTTTCTGTTTGTAATAAGGACAGTAATAAATATTCAGTTGATTCTTCTTTTGTATTTAATATTTTAATAACTTTTTCAGTGTTATAGTTTGAAATCCTGAAAGAATTGATAACTGAAGCAGTGTTATTGATTTTTTTTCCCCTTTAAAAGGGAAATTTAGTAATAGCTATTTGCTTCTTTTTCTCCTGATACTTGAATTTTCAGAACTCCCTTAAACTCTTATATCACTCATTGTATTAACATTTATTTTACAATTTCACCTGTGATATCCTTCTTCTTTTTTTGGTGGAAGGGGGACTAGGGATTGAACTCAGGGGCACCTGACCACTGAGCCACATACATCCCCAGCCCTATTTTGTATTTTATTAAGAGACAGGATCTCACTGAGGTGCTTAGCACCTCGCTTTTGCTGAGGCTGGCTTTGAACGAGATCCTGTTATCTCAGCCTCCCTAACCACTGGGATCAAATCGTGTGCCACCATGCCAAGCTTGTGATATCCTTCTTATACCACTAGTTGTTTTTAGATTTTTATATGTGTTTATTTCCCTAACTAGATTTTAAGTTATTTGCTAATGAGGTCCTTATTTTACTTTCTTTTTTGTATACAGTCCTTAAAAGGTTATTTTATTTATTTTAAATATTTTTAACCTTAATTTTTCTACCACCTTTTTAACAGTTCTTTCTGTTCATTTAGTCTCAACTTTTTTTTTTTTTTTTGTACAGGGATTGAACCCAGAGGTGCTTAACCACTGATTCCATTTCCCCAGCCCTATTCTAAACTTCTTGATACCATTCACTTTTTTTCAAATAGGCGCATTCATAATTGACCTTCTTGTAGCTTTATATAGTATTCAAAGTTGAAATGAATCATTAAATATAGACAATATAATGAGTATCAGGTCTTTCTAGTATTTTTTTTTAATATTTATTTTTCAGTTATCGGCGGACACAACATCTTTGTTGGTATGTGGTGCTGAGGATCGAACCCAGGCCGCACGCATGCCAGGCGAGCGCGCTACCGCTTGAGCCACATCCCCAGCCCAGGTCTTTCTAGTATTAAAGTCAGAATATTTATTGAGAAATTTTCATTCTGATATTAGGGACTGTTAAAGATCATGTTTTCTGTTTGTTGTTCTTTTTTGGTAATGTTAGGGCAGAACCCAGGACTGCCATTACATGCCAGGCAAGTGTTCTAATACTCAGCCACACTCTATCCCAAAGTTCATCTTTTCAGAGAATGTGTAGTACTTACTGGGGAAATTTAATGATTACTAAACAGTAGGATACAAAACTCTGTTTGCATGTACTATATAGTATAAAAATTGTTTAAAAAATGACTGTATATGAAGAAAATATATCAAAATGTTTTCACATTTCCAAAAAAAGCATGTATTTTGTCTTGAGAAAATTCTTACAAATGTCATTTAAGAAATAAAGGGAAATTGATTTTTATTTTGAAGTTACACTTAATGTGATAATATGTTAAACAGTGGCTTGCAATCCTGGTTGTACAGTATAATCAGAATCTCTGATTGGAGGGTTTGGTTATTGGTATTTTTAGTAAAGCTCCCATGTGATTCTTTTGTGCATCAAAGTTGAGAACCACTGTAGAATCTGGCACACAGAACACCTGAATTATTTTAAGTGTAATCATGTTTGCACACATATTTTTATTCTTGTTTTTTGATCATTTTCTAGGCAAGTAGGGGCTTGCAGGTAGGGTACCCTGTGCTTCTGTTGTGGGTTTCCACCTTAATGTAGAAGACTTGTTACTGCTGATGTATTTGCTCGTGAAAAGAACTCTAAGTAGTTAATGTACACATTTTTCGTATTTATTATTGGAGTGAAGTGAAGACATATATATTTAAGGTAGATGTTTAGGCACATGCTGGAAATAATGTTCTCCCTTCTATCCAGTGAAGATCTGTTGTATTTAGGGCCTTCATCCATGACTTGTGAAAACAGCTGTGACATGGTGATGTTGAATCACCAAGGATAGAAGCTTGTATTCTTTGCTTCTAGATAACGTATATTCTATTTTGTTTCAGGAAAGTAAATGGGCAGAGAGAAATGGCAGATTGATAATAAATTGGATAATGCAAAAAAAGAAATTCTCTTTTTCTTTTTTTTTTTGCTAACAAAGACAACAAGAAATTAGTTTTTTGAATTGTACTCACCCTTTGTACTCATGCCAGTAGCAGAACTGGAGGTGGAGATTAGGTTTTTGGATCATGTAACATAATAGTTCATTGTATCACAGTCTTTTACCAGTGTGAACTGACAGAAATCTGTACTTCAAAGTTGTTTAGAAAGAAGTTTGCAGACTGATGTTTGATTTTCCTTGCTGACGTTATGAGAAATGACCTGAATTTTCAATTCATATGTCATAATTTTTTGGTAGGAATAGAAACTTTGTACAGCTTCATTTTTAAATGGCAGCCAGTTCATTTTAGATGGTGCCATTGAAATATATCACATTTTAATTTTTTTTCTGTTGTCATCTTCATTTTGACACTTAGAAGTCTTAAAGAAACGTTTAGTGATATTCTAGTTAAAATGTCAGTCCCAATTTCTTTTCTAAATCTTGGCTATTATAGAGTTGGCAAAGTATTTTAGATTTGAAATATGTTAATAAAAATTTAGTTATGAGTTAAGGTATTTTCTCCAACAGAAATAGCTAGCTTTGGCTAGAATGCAGTGCCAAGGAAGTAGCTCCTTTATTTTGTTATAATGGAAGCTTATTGGATTAGAAAAAAGTATGAAATGAGCTCAAAGAACCTTCATTGTAGTGGGGCTTTCATTATAATGGCCTGATTTATATGGTTGATTCTCATTATTATAAGTTTAATAAATTATTGCCTGAAGGAAAACTTGAAAATTAAAGTTGATATGACATAGGTTGAAACTGAATAAATCAAAAATTTTATACTAATGGTAATAAGCCAGGATTTGTCTTAGGAAAACCCCTTACAAACCTGAATTATATTATTGAACAATTCCAAAAGTTAACCAAAATTCCTTCTCTTTATTTCCTTTTCTTTATTTCTTACACTGATTCTGTGACTCTTACTCCGTCATTGCCTTGCAACATTATACATGTCTCTCCAGCTACCATTACGTTAGAGAAGGAGGCACAGGTTATGGAAAAACTTGAGGTGTTGAGTAGGCAATTTAGGGATTGTATCCTCGAACTTCAATATGTTGATTGGTTCAGTATGTTGATATGTTTCTAAGGAGTTGATGCCATGCCAAGCCCATGTGAACCACTCTTCCAAGGCTGGGCTGGCAAGTATACTTACCTTGACAGAAGAGGAAAGCTGTTACACAGGTTGCCCCTTTGCTGTTATACTCATTCATAACTGGTACTGCTTGACTCTAGATTGGCAGTCTTCCTGTAAGTACTTTAACTAGGGATTTCTATTTTTTGAATTACAAAAATCCAGGATAAGACACTGTATGTATAAGTGTGGTTTTATTTAAATCTCATGGAGCAAAATGAACTTCTGTGTCAGTTGAGGGTTTTTGAGTGGGGGAAAAAAACAGTTGTATATATTTTCACATGTTTTCTGTCAGTTAAGATGATGGGCCTCATTTATGAGGTCTCTTACTGCTCAGTTGAACCTTGAACTAAAGCTATGCAGCTATTCCATCCAAAATAATTTTCTTCATACCTCCTAAAGAAGAGCAACTCTCAAATTAATTTGGAAATGTTTACTTCCTTATTTGAAGGTTTCACTGCTTTTAAACTTTTCCCCAATTCTCAATAAGTTAGATAATAAATAAGAAAATTTCAAAACACTAAGTAAATACTAAATGAGTAAAAATTCACAATTTAAGAAGTCCATAAAATTCTGTTTCTCACCCTTCCATATTTATTTAACAAGGCAAAACTCCTTCCCAGCTATTATTTCTTGTTGTTCAGAATACCTTTTTGTGAATGTATGCCTCTTTGATAGTAATTTTATTTGTTGATGTCCCTTAAAATATGAAATGAATGCAGTTCAGTAAGTTGGTAGAAAATTGTCACTAAGCCCCATTTTCTTTTAGACATTAAATTATTATATGGGAAATAAGTTGTAGGGCTCCTTGGTTTGGAAAATAATGGGAATCTGTGTCAGAAAGGAAAGTATACAGTTCAGTGGACAGTGTTCGCTTGCTTTGGAGTTCCAGAATGCTAAGGTCTGTTTCTTCTAGTTCTGATACACTGGAACAAACTGTGATGAGAAACAGCAGAAGAGTGGGAGTTTGCCATTAATTGGTTAAATCARGTATTGAGATTTTATTAAATCTCAGAAATATCTTGTAGCCCCTTGGTGATACAGTTAACATGGTTGCTAGTCTTTGCTTAAGGGAAAGCTTAATAAAGATGAAAATTAGTTTAAACGTTTTTCTTAAACTTCTGCAAAGACTGAGCTGTGTATCTGGTTTTGTATATTTTATTGGTTTTGAAAATGGAACTTGAGAGATATATAAGTTATGGACTATTCTGAGAGTATCAAAAAGATTCTTAAATAGTTGGGCTTAATCTTTAAACAGTTATAAATCTAAGTATGAGAATTACAGTGTTTTGAAAGAAATTAATTTATTAGTCTGTGTTGAAAGTTCACTGTAAATAACTCAATAATTTTAACTAGTACTGGTACTAATTAAGTCTTATATTTTAAGGAACCTAGTGACAATGGACCTCTTTTTACTGAATTGAAATTTTACCAGCGAGCTGCTAAACCAGAGCAAAGTAAGAAATACAATATACATATATTAATACTTTTTAAATGACCAATCCCATTTTATTATTTTGTGTAATCTAAGACTAGAGCATTACATCTTTTGACCCTTGGTAATTTTTGCTTTATAAATAAATTTCATTTAAATGAGACTTGTATGAAATGATTCGGATTTCTTAATAGGTTTGTTATAAGATTTTACTGATGATATATAGAATAAAGTATGATTTAAGGAATATTGTTAAAAAATTTAGCAGTAACTCTAATCTGTGAGTTAGACTCAAGAATCTCCAAATCTTTTTGAGTATTTTTCTAAATTCTGTAGAGCATAACCTGGGGGGGTTGCATAATTGGTGAGATAGAACAGAGAGTGTCTGAGTCAAGATTAGAACTTCTTCCAGCTGCTCTGCTTCCTTCTATCTTAACTCCTCCCCTCTAAGAATCCAAAACTTACAATAGGAACAAAGAAAAGCTACCAAAAAGCTACTATATCTCCTAGATTTGTGTTTGCTGATTGAGGAAGAGATCTAATGACTGAGGGAAGAAAACCAAACTTACAGATTGGGCTAGAGGGCATGTTGTCCTGTGGAAACAAGTAAACATAGCCAGAGTTGAAATACAACTGAAATACAGTTGCTTTTTGCAGGTTTTTCACTTTAAAAGCAATTTAGGTAACAATTTTGTAGGCTAATAAAAATGCTTTGTACTTTTTGTTTTTGGTTATACTGTACTTTTCTTCTTTTATGAATAAAGATGAAGTCTTGTGTAAGTACATCCTACTTTTTTAGTTATTTTTTAAAAAAAATTATTATGTGTATAGTAGTTGTAATCACAAGCCTCTGTTTTAACTTACAGTTCAGAAATGGGTTCGTACCCATAAAATGAAGTACCTTGGTGTTCCTAAGTATTGGGGATCTGGCCTACATGATAAAAATGGAAAAAGGTAAAAACTGCATGGTTTGCTTTTCTTTTCCCTCTTTTGAGCATTTTCTGTCCATTTGGTTTAGTCAAGAATTATGTATTGAGCATCCAACAATGTCAGTAGGTAAGAGTGTGTCAGCGAATAAGAAGAATAAGCTGTTATCTCTACCTTCTGCTTTACATAACAGCAGACTGATACTCTGTTAGAACGGGTGTGCCTCTCTAATTTAACTACTTCTATGGAGCAATATCAATTAGCTGAAACCTGACAAAGGGAACAAAGCCCAAAGGGCCCTGCATTTCCCTCCCTTTGAAATAAACACATGCATACCACTACATTCTTGAGGCAAAAGAGAGCCCTTAGGATTCCATTTGGTATTTCATGTTGGATATAATATCTGACCATGGGAAATTAGAGTCTTATTCTTTATGAAGGCTTCAGTTTTAAAAGTTGATGATAGAAAACAAAATGCATGAAACATTTCAAGAACAGTTAAGTGCTAAATTGTGACTTTGTCTCAAGATATTTTAGGAATTGAGAGAATAGAATGTTGTTGGCATAGCTGAGTTGGAGAAAACTCCTAATACTTTGATGAATAATTGGTGCCTTTTAAATATTCACATGAGTGATTGGAACTGGGTATATTGGTTAGAATGCTCTTAGTTACAAGGAAAGGAAAACTTTGACTCAGCCATCTTAATCACCTGGGGCCCAGGTATCTTGTCTTCCTATTTTGCCTTGGCTGTAGTTCTCCATTGTATGGCCTCAGGGTGGATGTCCCACTTCTAGACACAGACCTAATGGCAGAAAATGATACCATCATCTCCTGAATTTCTCTTTTCTAGAAACCTTCCCTGGAGTTCTGTGGCAGAATTCCTCTTACATTTTCTTGTCAGGCTTTTGTTAGTGCTTACTCTCTTACTAGGCACTGGGAGGGGCAAGGTGGTCACAGGTATTGACTTGGTGTAACACATGGTTGTGTGGACCAAATTGGTGCCATTAGAAAAGATAGAGCAGGGGCAGCTCTTGGCAATCATCCATTTCTGGGGAGTGTGGGAGCTCCCTGATATCACATGTAACATTATCTGTGGTTTTGATAGAACAAGTTTGCCTTGAGGTGACCAGAGCCAGAGAGACACGGTGGGTCATAGGCTGGCATAAGCTGTTGGCAAGGAAGCTGGAAGAGAACTTCAGAAGTGCCAGAGTGTAGGGACTGGAACCAGGCACATTCCTGCCTGTGTTAGCTCACTGTTCACAAATGGTGTGTGTGGGGGTGGGGGATGGGACACCTTACCTCAGCCTATTTGTTTTATAAACTGAGTACATGACTCGTGCTAGAATCATGGGTGAGGTTTTGATTTACTTCTTAGRTGGAAGCTCTTAAAAATAACTATTATAGGTCTATCAACAGTTTAAAAAAAATAGTAAGGTTATTCTTCTAACCACCTCTCCTGCCCCAAATCATCACTTTTCCCTGTAGCTTATTTAAATTAATACACATAGAGAGCTTAGAACAGTGTTAAGATTGTAAAAACGTAGCTGCTATCATTATGAAATCATTTATACTGATCTATATTTTCCCATTACTTGAATTGTCACATCCAACTCCCCAGAAGAAAATACATGAAAGGTTTTACTTTAAAGGAGTTCTTCAGAAATAACCTTTATTTTACTACTTTGTGATAGATAGAATTGTCTTTCTAGAATCATGCTTCAGTTGATATTTATAATTTAGAAATGGTGAGATTAGGGATTGTTTGGAATAGTGATGGGGTGATCTGTGGATAAAGACAAAGACCTATTTGATATGATTTGTTAATAGAACCAATGTTGCATCAAGTGACTGTGTTTTAACCCTCTTTCAGACTGTCAGCAGAAGTTTGTATTTTTGTTATATATATGTTATTATAATATTACACCCATCACTTATTTGTTAAAGCAAAAATGTACATGTGTCCTAATCTCATCTCAACTTTTCAAACCCTGTTATACAAAAGAAATCAGAAAGTCAAAATCACTGTTCCCTCTATTATTTCAGGATACCAGGAAATCTTACAGGAATGAATACCTGTTGCCACTAATTAATTGTATGACTTTGGATGTATTACTTCACTCCATATGTTATTTTGTTTATTAAAAGATACATAGACAAGAAGATCTTTAATTCTCTTCCAGTTCAAAAATGGAGAGAATCCTGATTTTTTTTTTTGATAAATTTGGTGTGTTGTCTTTTAATGTTAGTTAGCTCTTCCTTCCCTTTTAAATTCATGTTGTATTTCTAATATAGAAGCCTACAACATTTAAGTGGGATTTTTGTCTTCTAGTGCTGTTTATTTTGTACTGTGGATATAGTGGTTAACTGCTGGAGGACAGATGGGGTGACCAGAGTATCTGCCTTATGGATGGGGCCAGGCTGAAGTGCTCAGAGCAGTGCTGTGCTCACTCCAGGCATCCAGCATACACTGGCTCTTGGGAGGATGATGATTCGTAATCCTACCCTATTGGAAGATAGCTGGATACATTTTGAGTGTGGTCTTGGTATTTATTGATTTTTTTGAATGATTTAACTAGACAAGTTAGAAATTGGAAAGCTTCTGCAAAGCAGTAATGTTTTTCAGTACATACCGAATCTTAGAATTGGAAAGCTATAACAGACCTTAGAAAGGGTGAGTTTTCAATACTTCATTTTATGTCTGTAGAAGTTGTGGCCTAAGGAAGTAATGTTACTTGCCCAAGGTGACATGATTGGTTTCTTGCAAAACTAAAAATCGTCATATTTTTCCTGGATATTTCTTCTTCTGTAAATCTCAGCCAATAAGTTTTTAATGTACCATCCGTTTATACCATTTAGACATTTTATGTTTCTATTATAGCATCTGTTGATGATCATGATATAGATTATTAGTGCTGCTGAAATGTACCTTAAAATAGAGAAAATAGTCAAAAGAATGAAGCTATTATCTAGGAACATAAATTAATACTAACTATGAGAATAATTAGTGCTTTTATTATTTTGTTTTATTTTTGCTATAGATGAATCTGGTGGATTCTCTTTGTGGGCATTATCTTAAATTAAATATTATCTCTTCTAACTAGTTGAGATTTGTGGTTGAGAGAAATATTTCAAATGTTTGTATATATTTCTTTGTTTCATTTTTAGACTACTGTCTTACTCTATATTTCCTTGAAAAAATTACTTTGAAAGCAGAGTTCTCAGTGCAAAGTATGGTTTTCCTGAGTTATATTTTCTTCATTGACTTTTCTTGTTTGACTTTCAGTTACAGGTTTATGATAATGGATCGCTTTGGGAGTGACCTTCAGAAAATATATGAAGCAAATGCCAAAAGATTTTCTCGGAAAACGGTCTTGAAGCTAAGCTTAAGAATTGTATGTGAGCTACATTCTTCATGTTTTTTTTAAAAAATCATTTTTTTAATAAAGCAAAGGCTGTATTAACTGTGTGTTGAAGTTTGGTCCTCTGCTGGTTGTGTTAGGTACTGCATTAATTTATTTTGTATGATATTTTCCATAGCTGGATATTCTGGAATATATTCATGAGCATGAGTATGTACATGGAGATATTAAGGCCTCAAATCTTCTTCTGAGCTACAAGAATCCTGACCAGGTAGCTTTGGAACTTTAGTTTCTCCTGTTTAAAATGTATTATTTGAAAACAAATATGGTTGCTTTGAACTCTTGAACCCATGCAGAAGTTTTACTTTTTGAAGTAAAAAGGTAATAATAATATTTCTTCTTGACACTTTTATCTAGTTAACATTCTACATTTTTGATGCAATTTGTTGGCACTTGATCAAGTTGGCTATTTTGCCCTAAATAATATTCAGAAGAAGTACTTGTGATACAAAATGAATTTCAAATAGCTGTTTGGGGGTGGAAGCTTAAAATTATATAGTACACCAATGAATTATGTTTGCCTGTCTGCTTTGTCACTTTTTTTATTTCCTTTGTTCAAGAAATCCATCAAATGTAAGTGTTCTGTTACTTGGAAAATTTGGTCTTTAACATGTTGATTATTCAAATCAATTGGTTTACAGAAATATCTGAGCTGTCTAAATTTGTATACCCTTAGTGTTTGGAATTTAAATGTGCGTTTTTTAAATTATTACATTCTCTTTGTGATATTTTACTGTTTAAGGCAAGGAGAAAAGCTAGTGTTATTATACCTTTTTTGGGGGATCAGTTTAGTTGGAGTAGAAGAATCTATATAATTTTCTTGTATCTTCCATAATTTTGATAAAAGTGAGCTTTAGTTGACACTCATAGTTGGCCCTTAATTCTCATTTCTTAGCTTGATACATATAGAAGATTTAAACATTCTAAATATATTGGGTACTTTGATTATTGCAATCATTTGTTAGTATTTTATGTCATTCTTTTTTTTTCTTTCAAACCTTGTTTTAATTCCCTCTTGCTTCATTTTGCTTTTGCTTTGGCTCTCTTTTTACCATTATCTTGTATGTTTGCTCCCCTCCACTCCCACATCAGTGGTGGTGGGCATAAGGGTCGCTTAACAGAAGAAAGTTGCTATAGTTTGACTCACAGATCTTAAAAGCAGTCTCAGAATTAGTCCAACTCTTTCTAGCCATCTCATTTAAGATGCTTCTCTCTTGAAAATAAAATAGCCAAGAACCAGAGCAGTAAGGATTCCATTAATTAAAGTAGTGTGGACTTGTATAATATGATAAAAATGCAACTTACATTAGTTGCACTTGACTAAAGCATGCTGCTTTTGTTTATGTGGAAATATTTTGTAGCTCTGTTATCTTTCAGAGATTATTCTTTCAGTATTAGATCTATCTTTGTATATTTTACTTCAGTTTCCTGTTTTGCCTGCATGCATATATTTGTAATAGTTACCCAGAATTAGAGATGTAATATATGGCTATAGGATAGAAGACAGCCAAATATGTAGTCTTATGTGCTACTCAGATCCACATGTATCTGCCCCCAGATATGTGTGTATGTGGTATTCAGATTTAGCTTAAATTATGAAGACTTGCTTTAATATACAGTATTTAAATGTAGATAAGGGCCTTATCTAAAAGTTCTTAATGATCTTTATTAGGATCCTTGAACCATTTTTATGAAGTAAATTCATATTTGATTATTTTATGAGTGAAGTAATAGGAATAGAAGATAACTTGTATCTATCTGTTCTGTTAGCAGTCTTATGCTCTGTGTGCTTTTCTTTCTGGGAAGTGCTAGTTGTATTGCCACATGTATTGATGATTGACTTTGTGCTCAATTTTGTTTTAACCTCTCTATAGGATAAAATAAGATTTATAAGAGTTGGTAAATTGAGGAGACAAGATTGGTTACAAGTTTAGTACATACATTAAAAAGTATACAAAGTCAAGTAATACTCTGGACCATGGCGACATATCATTTAACATTTTTATTAAAAAAAAAAAAAAATCTTGAGCTGGATGTGTGGCTCCAAGGCAGAGTAACTTGCCTAGCATGCACAAGGACCTGGGTTTGGTACTCAGAACTGCAAAAAGGTGTTTTTTTTTTTTTTTGAAAGCCTTTCAGAATTGAATATTTGTTATCGTGTGCATTTTGCTTCTAACCTGTTTGTGGTGCTGTAGTTTGTCCTTGTAGGTGAATGCACCCTCAAATGAAGTATTTTATTTCTGTACAGCAAAGTAGTATAGTTACAATGATTTTGGCTTTAATTTGTCTTGGTACTTGGAAATTTATAGGTTTACTTGGTAGATTATGGCCTTGCTTATCGGTACTGTCCAGAAGGAGTTCATAAAGAATACAAAGAGGACCCCAAAAGATGTCATGATGGCACTCTTGAATTCACCAGCATTGATGCACACAATGGCGTGGGTATGTCCTCGGTATTTGATTGAGAAATACGCTGCTAATATTTTCAACAGAATTCCTACATGAGTCTTAATTATGCATAAATATAAACAGGGAGATAAGAATTAAAGAGGCAGAATGGGATGGGGATAGAGGGCAGAGGTTAGACTCCTACAGTTATATAACATGGCCCTCATGCGTTCTCTTCCCTCTCATGTCCTATCCTTCCAAGATGTCCAAGAATGTTGCAGTGGCAAGGTGGTTCATTTCATTACAGTGAAGATTTCTTTTTGGTTTTAAATAGCTTTAATTGAAATATTGGTTTGTTTTCTTTTCTAATGTCTGTAAGTTTCTTATTCAGCTACAATATTAGAACAGGTAGCTTTTATTTTGTCACCGATTAAGCTTATTTCTTCTGCAGTCATTTATATTTTCTATGTCGAACACTGGAGAGTCTCAAACACCCAGTTCTTAACATTTTTAGTATCTTCAGGCTTTCCAAAGACAATATTAAATGTGTCATTGTTTTATAGTTTATTTCCTCCATGTATAGACTTAGTTTGAAATCCTAGGGTTTGTCAGTAATACTTGTTTTACCTTATTGCACTATATGTATTATACATATATGTATATATGTATATATAATATACATGTTTTTATATAATACATATTATATATACATATATAGTACATAATATAGGTGTCTATAGACACACACATATTTGAAATAAAAGTTATTTTATTATGCTTAATTTTCTTCTTTTGTGTTTGTAGCCCCATCAAGACGTGGTGATTTGGAAATACTTGGTTATTGCATGATTCAGTGGCTTAGTGGCCAACTCCCCTGGGAGGATAATTTGAAAGATCCTAACTATGTTAGAGATTCCAAAATTAGGTAAAGAACAAATTGAGTTATTTTGGGGGGTGGAAGCATGATAGGGCAAATGTTCTTGGTCAGAATCTCTCAATTGGAACTGTAGTTTTAAGTGATACTAATCTGGAAGTAAGAAAGTACTTATTTAACAGGAAAGTTTCTTGGACTTCAATTTATTTTAGAAGAATGCCTGTGAGAGTATTTAGGATGTAGTTCAATGTTGTTTTATGTGCTCGTTACTGTTACTAACTCTTAACAATATTCTGTGACTTCAAGCTTCAAACAATGACCCATTCTTTAATTTTTAACAGATACAGAGAAAATATTTCAGATTTGATGGAGAAATGTTTTCCTGAGAAAAACAAGCCAGGTAGGAAAAGCCTTCTTAAATGTTTTGTTTTTCTGGAAAGAAGAAGGCATGGTGTTGTGAAGTGCCTTCTATTGGAAGCATATAGGTGTTTTAAGTGGGGACATTGTACTGAGCCTGCTCGCCTAAAAAAGCACTTTCCCTTTTCAGAGGTGAGCTGCAAGTGAATATTCGTGCTCCATTGAATTATTCAGTGCTTTGAGGAAAAGAAGCAATTTCACTCACTTGTTCAGCTGGTATTCATTGAGGCTTTGTTGTAGGGACTGTTCTAGGCACTGGGATATGCATCATTGAGCAAAACAGAATAAAACCCTGCCCTTGTGGAGCTCACATTCTAGTTGGGAGTGATAGTAAACAAGTAAATGAATTTTATCATACTCAAGTCAGTACTCTGGAACAATAAGAAAACAGAGAATAGGATTAGGATGTAGAGATGTGAGAGGTAATAAAGTGGGGAGGAGGATAGAAATTTTGCATAAAGAGATCAGGAATAGCCTTACTGAATGGGGGACATTTCAGCAGTTGTCAGAGGAAGTAAGGAAGTAAGCTCTGTGGAAGGCTGAGGAAAAGTTAGTGTTCTAGGCAGAAGGGACATGATGCCAAGTGGATTTGAGAAATATGTCCTTTTTTGAGCAAGAGTGTAAGGTTTGGAGAAATAGTGATATTGACTTCAAGGGAAATTTCTGGCTTCTGTTGTGACACACTATAGAGGTGCAGATTCTGAGGCTATAGTAATCAAAGCAAGGGAAGTGGCAGTGGAGGAGGGACAAGTGTGCTCGTTCTCTCTTTTTCTCTCTCTCACATCATATATACAGAAGTCTTTTCTGGCCTTTGCTCAGTTGTCCTCCTCTTCAGAGAAATGTCTGTCCTATTTATTTATGCTATTTAACATTGCAGACTACCACCCACATCAGATATAATATGGTTTTCCCAGAATTACCCTTTGGGCCTCCAACCAGTTAACCTATCCTCATTGGCTTCACTTCTGACACCAAAGATTTGTTTCTGAGATTTATARAAATGGAATCATACACTGAATGAAATAGATACAAGTCCTGCCCTCATGAAATTAGCTTTAGTTCTGTTAATATCCTTTTTCTTTCACTTAGTGCTTCATTTGTGAAATTTATCCTCATTGTTGCATGTTGAAGAGTAGTTGTTCATTTTCATTTCTATGTAGTATTCCATTATGTTTATATACCGTTATTTATATGTTCTACTATTAGGTCATTTCTAACTTTCAACAGTTACAGATTGCCAATTGCATACACATAGAGGTATGTTGTCTACCTGCAGTTGACTTCTGTGTATTCTATAAGAGGTCACTTTTTTTTTCTCCACCTCCAGGTTGGTATGGAGTTTACCCAGCAGTCTTTCTTAAAAAGACTGCTCTTTCCCTCTGATGCCACTTTCTTATAAATCAGGAATAAATCTATTTCTGAACTTTTTCTTTCATTTGTTTTTTTGTCTGTTTTTGAGCTACACTCTTAATTATTGTAGTTTTATCTTACATCTTGGCATCTGGTGAAATCTGGTAGTTTAAATCCTCTTGCACTATTTTTCTTTAAACTTGACTTTGCTATTCTTGGCACTTTGCATTTTAGTTAATAAATTTTAGAATCACCTTGTCAATTCTACATATGTACATCATGCACTAAGCTTGCTAGAGCTTTGGGACTGAATTGATTTTTTAGATCAGTTTGGGTAACAATGACATCTTTGTAGTAATGGTGAGTCCTCCATTTGACTAATATGGGGAATATATCCATTAAATTTGTTCCTACAGTTCTCTTGATGGGGTTTTATAGCTTTTTCCTACAAAAATATCTTGCTCATATTTCATTGCATTTATGTTAGGCATTTGATGTTTTGGAATGTTATTTTAAGGGGTATGTTTTAAAATTTTTGTTTTTCAACTGATTTTTTATGGATGTACAAATAGAATGGGTTTTATAATATATTTACCTTGTCTCTGTGACTTTGCTAAATTCACCAATTCTAGTAGGTTTTTTTTTTTTTAGATTTTTTTTAAAATTTAGATTCTGTAGGAGTTTCTTTTACATGTACTGTCATGTTGTTTGCAGCTAAAGACTTATATTTTTTATTTTGCTCATTATGCCTTCTGTTTCTTTTCTTTCCTTACTGTATTGGTTAAAAAAATGTATGATTTTTTTCAGTAATGCTAAATAGAAGTAGTAAAATTAGATCTTTTTCATTTTTCATTTTTCTCAGGGAAAATTTTCAGTATTTTGCTAGACCCAGTGATGTTTGTTTTAGGTGTTTTGTAGATCCCTTTTTTCAGATTAAAAAAGTGGAAGTTTGGGATTTTTTCTTGTTGTGTCCCAAGTATCTACACAGAGTACCTGGCCCCCGGGCGTTCCAGTATTGGAATTAGTGAGTGTGTCTGTGTACCACTGACAGAATGCCTCCATGAATTGATGTGGAATGGAAGAAGAAGAGGAGGAGATTTAAGAAAAACGGATTTTGGCCTCAACCAGGATGGAATTCTCAGTAACAGGGGAAACTGCAGGGAATAGGTTTTAGGGTTAGGTTAGGAGTTTCAATTTGAATTTATTGGGATTTGAGGGGACAATTACATATCTAAGAACCAGCATGTGAGGCAGGGAATATGTGGGTCTGTGGGTCAGGGGAAAGAACTGTGTGTGTGCCATTAGCCCTGGAAGGAATTTGGATATTGAACAATGCTGATCTTCTAGGATTTATTCTTATGATAAGGTTCTGCCACAGTGTGCAGAAAAACCAGAAGCTGATTTTTATGGAAAAACTGGGTCTTCTTGTTCCTTTCTTTAATTGCTTTTGGTGTGTTTTATTTTTTATTAACACAAAGAATGCTGCTCTATTTTATAGTAATATTGGTTTCCATGGCCAAAAAATATTGGCTGTGATACTTGTACTTAAGGACATTTTAGTTCCAGAATTTTATTCTAGGTTTTTTTTTTTTTCTAAAGCTGAAAACTACAGTTATGTTATGCATATTTAAATTTTAAGTCTATGTTCTCTTTTGTTATTTTTCACAATTAAAAATGTTTTTATTTTGCCTGACAATTCCTGAATTGAAAAAACATACTTTCGCTGGACAAATGATTAACAAATTCATATCTTAACAATGTGTYGTATGCTTGCATTTTGATTTTACCATAATCGTGAATCATTTTCTTAGGAGTAAGAGATAAGTATGTCATATTTGTGATTAAAAGTTAGAAATGGTTGTGTTATTTCAGGTGAAATTGCTAAATACATGGAAACTGTGAAATTACTGGACTATACAGAAAAACCTCTTTATCAAAATTTACGTGATATACTTTTGCAAGGACTAAAAGCTATAGGAAGTAAGGATGATGGCAAGCTGGACCTCAGTGTTGTGGAGAATGGAGGTTTGAAAGCAAAAACAGCAACAAAGGTGAATTTTGTTATTAACTTATCCTTCAGGCTTCTTCTGATTATAATTGCAATGAATACTGATTTTTAGGAAAGCAAAACAGTAGCTAAATGAAGAAAATAACTGATTGTTTGGCAATTAAGTGTTTATCACCAGTATACAAAGGAAAACTCTTTTTATGACAACATAACAGTACGTGCAGGATTGTAGAAAAATAAATATTTATGTATTTCTCATGTCCAGTAGCAAGTTATTAAATATCTAAAATGATTTTAACTTGAGATGCTGGTGTCTGGCAGTGGGATATTGATGGAGCACTAAATTAATGATTTATGTGTTATTTTTTCTCAAGTCTTCCCTTAGGGTTGATCTTATTAATGGGTAGAGGAAAAGTGTTTACCATTTGAAAGTTGGCATAACTTCCTTTTTTAAAATTTTCCTTCTTACCTTTCTTCTTTTTTTGTAACAGGGATTGAACTCAGGGGCACTTGCCACTGAGCCACATCCCCAGCCCTGTTTTGTATTTTATTAGAGCCAGGGTCTCACTGAGTTGCTTAGTTAGTGCCTTGCTTTTGCTGGGATTAGCCACTGGGATTATAGGCGTGTGCCACCACACCTGGCTGAAAACTTCCTTTTTTTTTTTTAGAGAGAGAATTTTTAAATATTTATTGTTTAGTTTTTGGCGGACATAGCATCTTTATTTTATTTGTATGTGGTGCTGAGGATCGAACCTAGGGCTGTGCGCATGCCAGGCAACCATGCTACCACTTGGGCCACATCCCCAGCCCAAAAACTTCATTTTTTTTTAGTTTTGGTATGTCTACCATTTTAACATTGTTTTGCTCTTTAAAGAAACGTTGAGTGTATCTGCATATAAGGGGATTACTTTTTGGAAATATGAAGAAATAATAACCTGCTATCATAGAATCATTACATAAGCATGTAAAGAGCTCTTGATAKCACTTAAAAATTTAGATTTTATAGGTGTGCATTGTTATTAATTTACTGTTGGTTAATTTTTGATACTGTTGGTTATTTATTGATAACCTTACTTTCTTCATTATYTGAAATTATTTAGTAAAATCAATTAGCTTTTTTTTTTTAAATAAGGAAATGGAAACTACATTTAGAAGAAAAATATTTTTTCAAATTATTGGCTGTTTTTACTCTTGTTAATTCTATAAATCTTAATACATTCCTCTGGTAATTTCAGACTCCAAACTATTAGAAAAAAGCTTGAAAAATTTTCCTCTCTTTTAAAATCAGAAGCAGCCTACTAAAAGGTTTTCCTAAGCCTTTAACTTAAAAAAGAAATAGGGATTTCAAAATTGGTTCATGAATTTTACTTTCTTTGGCAAATAGCTGGTCTCTTTTTTGGTAACTTTATATTATAGAGTCTGGAATTATATGCATGTGTGTTGTCATATGTGTACATTTTTTTCTTCTTCCTTCATAAATTTGTCTTAATTGCATTTACTCCATATTTGTGGTCTACAAATGGCCTGAAAGCCAGATTCAGGATTGAAATGAAGAGGGTAAAGTGGAAATCTTGAGTGAAATTTTTCATTAAGATAGTAAACTTATTGTTGCACACATGTTTAAACATGCATTTTATTGATTAGGACAGATTTCTTTGCATTAATATTTATATGATTGCATTAATATTTATATAATATTTATATATCTATAGTGTTGTTTTCTAAACTGTTGCTGATTGAGAAGATCTCTCCTACAGTGAGACTTGTCTAGAGTAACTCCTCCTTCCTTTGCAAATCCCTGTTGTTTGAATCTACATGCTGGATAAAATTTGTTTTCTGTGACCTTATAATTCTCTTGTGTCCTTAGGTGGTTCACAGGTCTGGAAATTCCCTGTTGGACCATCTCCTACATGTTTAAAGCTTCATTTAAGGCAGGAAAAAAAAAAGTATGCCAAATTGAACTATGAGGAGGTTTACTTCATTAGCTTACTGTTTCTCTCCGTGCCCCACCCCTTTCAATACCCATTTCTGACCCAAGGCTATTCTATATAGCAAAAAGATATTATTACAGGTTAAGATTAGTTTAGATAAGATCATGGAACTGCTTGATATCCATGCAACTGAAGTTAGTTAACTAGTTCTCACTTTTTCTCTTTTCATTTGTGAGATGAAATGGTCTGATGATACAACTTTCTAAAAAGCCAGCCTGCCTGCATGCCCCCACACCCTCCCTCCTTTCTTTTTTTCTTTCTTTCTGAAAACATTTTCTTATAATAAATTGTAAATGCCCCCACTAAAACAAATGAAAGCAGTGTTGCACTGATGGAAAAGTTGGCATCTCCCTGGGGGGGAGGGGGGGAAGCTTTCTCTGAGAAACTAGTACTCTGTCTCTTTTTTGTAAGGCCTATAATTCAGTTGTCTTTTTTTGCTCTGGTTTCCAGGAGACTCAAAACTAAAAATGGTGCTTTATACTAGAAACACTATTAATTCTTATAATTAGTATATTTGCTCCCTCTTTTCCTTTGTCATAATTGTTGGAAGTAAAAAGTATATATACTTTGTGTTTATCAGAAGTCTCTCTTTGAAAGGGGTAAGTTTAAATAAATATATATTTCTTGTAGGGTTACTAGAGATATCTTTTATGGTACAATTTTTAGGAATAAATTAATAATGGAATAAAGCAAGGTTTCTTTTGAATCTTGCAACCATGTTCTTTTATGGTGAAATGTATGTGCAAACTGCAGTTAAATAAGAAATTTGTGTACTTGGGAAAATATGTTCTTTCTAGTAGCTAAAGAGTTTTATTTAAAGCCCAGAACTTTGGAATGGTACAAGGCTGAAAAAGAAAGAGGCCAAGTATAAATCTGCCCTTAAAAAGTACAAAGCCCAAAGATTTTCATTGTTGATTAGAACTAAACACTTTCATTAGAATGTACATTGCAGCAGTTATTGGAGTTAGTGTGCACTCTTAAATGAACATTCAGTAGTCATTGTAGATTGCCTAAATTATGTACCTGATCTGAGCTAAGTCTCTAGGCCTGCCCAGGTCAATAATGTGTGGTCCATCCTTAAAGAATGGCTTAATTTACTGGACTCCCTCTCCTATCTGGACTAAGAATGGCTTAATTTACTGGAAAGAACTCAGCAAGTTAAAAGAATGCTAATAACTCCATTAGCTGTTTTCTTCTAGGGTTTTGACTAAGTTGCTTACCCAACTCAAAAGAAAGGGCTGTTGATTGGACTCGCTTGACTTTTATCCCTAGGGAATTTTTTAGTAGATCTAGAGTATGGCCCTGAAATTTGTATTTTATTTTTTCAATTTCTGACAGTATATATTATCCCTATGAATGATCTACACATATCTTCTTTCCTGTCCCTCATTTTACTTCCCATTTTTAATTTTTTTTTCAATTGTATTGTACTAGTTGTCCTTTTTCTCAGTTTCTCTTAAAACTTATCAACTATTGTCAGTTAAACCTCTGCTGGTGCTCAGCCTGGAGCAGGGTACAAAGATTTGAATAGAGCAGCAGCCTTCCACTGAAAGTGTGCATCTTTCCTGCCCACTTGCCTATGTGCCTCTTTCCTGCTTTCTGACTTTACTATGAGCTGAGCGGCTTTCCTCATCTGGGTCCTTTTCTCATGATGTGCTGCCTCACCTTGGGCCCAGGTCAGTGGAGTCAGCCGTCTGTGGACTGAGACCTCTGAAACCATGAGCCCAAAATAAACTTTTCCTCCCCTAAGCTGTTCTTATTGGGTATTTTGGTCACAGTCACACAAAAGCCAACTTAAAACAAACATTATTATAATTTATTTTGGGAAACATATGTATGTATTTCACATTGGGTATATATGTAGTGGATTTCTGAGGCATACGGTTTATTTATGTTCAGTTTTTTTAGTGGATACTGCCAAGTAGTTTTTCCAAAGCTGCTCTCAGTTTATACTACCATCAGAAATCTATGAGAGTTCCAGTTGCTCACTGACACTAGCTATAGCATTATACTTCAGTTTACCCATTTTAACGTGTAAACTGACTTTTATATAGTTTTAAGCTAATTTCATTGAAGAATATTGATTTTTGAGCACCTTTTCATATGCTTACTGACCTTTATCATCCCTTTTTTGGTGAAGTGCATTGTGATTCTTTTCCCCTTTAAAAATTTTTTCTTTTAATTTGTCAAAGTCAGGTACTTGGTATGTATGTACTACATGTACAACACTATCTTTTAGTATGTGGTTTATCTCTTCATTCTTTTAATATGGTGCCTTTTGATAAATAAGTTTTTCATTTTAATGAAGCCCAGTTAATCAGTCTTTTTGTTTAGTGCTTTTTGTATTCTACTTAGTGAAATTATGTCTACCTCAAGATCATGAAGATGATTTTACTCATCACATTTAGGTCTATAATTTAATAGAAATTGATTTTTTGTGCATGGTATGAGTTAGTATGTGTCTCTCCCAACCCCCAGCCTGAACCACTTATCCAAAAGACCACTGCAGTGGGCACTCAGGTGGCTGTAGGTTTGGGACTTATTTCTGGATACCCCCTTCTGCACATGGGCCTGCTTATTGTTCTTTGTGCTAGTGCCATTACTTGTTTGAACTACTGGCTTCATGATTATATCTGCTGGCGTAAGTCCTCTAACTTTGTTGTTCTTTAAGATTGTCTTTGCCATTCTTGGTCCCTTTGCATTTACAGATGAATTTTAGAATCAGATTATGACTATAGATCTATTTGATAAGAACTGTCTCCTTTATAGTATTCTTTTGGGTGTGCATGTATGAAACTGTGTGTGTATGTGGGCACACGCACGTAGAACTGGAGATGAAACCCAGGGGCATTCTACCACTAAGCCACATCCTCAGCCCCTTTTATTTTTTTGAGACAGGGCCTCGCTAAGTTGCCTGGACTGGTCTTGAAATTGTGGTCCTCCTGCCTCAGCCTCCTGAGTCAGCAGTATCACATGTGTGTACTGACTTGTCTAGCAGCAGAGCTCTCTTCTGTGAACATGGCTGACCCTATCTTTATTTAGATGTTCTTTC